CCATTTTTGATCAGTATGCTATCGATAACCCATATTCATGCCAGAAAATGTTGAAATGGTCGTTGCGATTGTGCCGAAAAGTGCTGGCATTAAATCTCTTGGTATTTCATTTTTGCGTACGCAACAGAATGCGACAAAAATGCCAATCAGACTAGTGGAAGCCATTTAAAACTCTGAATGAAAGATGGAATTTGTCAGATAATGAAATACTGAATGGCTTATTTAGCGATAGACCTATTTAAGATTTTATCACACGGGAAGCATATCTAAGTCGTCATCCTGTAGTTTAGATATATTGACTACTACAACATTTATATGTAGATTTAAAAAAATATGAATGAGAACGAGAAAAAGTCAAAACCTATAAATCAAAATAACCACATAGTTTGATACAGTCTGACATTCATCCGACAACTAATTCCGTTCCCTTTAACTTTATTTTTGAACCATAATGATCTGTCTTAGATTATTGCATATGATAGGGAAAAAGGAAAATGATACATCTGTTTCGAAGTAACTAAATTTTTAAAGTTTTCGACTAGACACAAATACTGTCACCAATCAAAAAACATTGACAATAACATGGAATCTGCATAAACACAATAATTGTTGTGAAAAAATTATTCCTTTCCTTTATCGAGTCGTTTAGACTTGGAAGGTTTGGCCTTGAGTTAAGAGCAAGCAGAACTTTAATTAAAGGCTTACCTTGTGAAGACGTCGAATATACGTTGTGAGGACGCAGAGTAAATTTTACCGCTTTATTGATATAATACAGGGTTGATCAGGAGGATTATTGAAGAATAACGAGTAGAATCGCTTGCCCGTGAGTCAAAGGCTGTTATAAGAATACTATGGAAGAGCACTAGTCCAAACCAAACCTTTATACAAAAAAGAGATATATATATAAAGTAGGAGTGGTTTACATAAAACGTTAGAGGGTATTCCTTTAGATACAAAGGAAACGGTAAAAATGTGTAATTCCGTTAGACAAAGATAACAAGAAACGTATAGGGAGATAATTT